ATGGCAACGGGAATGAAGAGGTGGGGGGGATGGTGCTCTGATAGAACTCTCTTTCCCACTGTACACACTTATTTTATTGGATCCTGTGCTTAAGGATCAACATTTCACTGGGAAGACCCAGTGGAAGGGAGAATTGTTCCCCAAGACACAATTTCCAGTCCTTTCTACATAAATGTGCATAATTAGAAGGAACCCCCTGTGGTTGGATAGTGACTTCACATCATGTGGCCAAACAAGGATTGGCTGTATGTTGAACCCCACTTCTCCCAGGGACCCCATAGAGTGGGCATATAGCTACGTTGTACTTGGCTGAGGCAACCCTACCACTTCCTCCTGGGAATGGACAGAGGGGAGGCCCTCGAAAGTTTCCAACTGCTGCTCTCTTTGTGGATTGAGAGCGTGGCTGAACCAGAAGCCTTTGCCTGGGGAGACCAGGTCTATATTCTGACAGGTGATAAATGGAAAAAAGATGAAATTTTAAAAGAAGGAGAACAAGTAAATGATGATGCTGGGGAAAGAGGCTGTTATTCTCAGTCCTCAAGAGTGTCTGATAGTAGGCGTGCCTGGGGGGCTCAGTTGGTTAAGTGTCTGCCTTCAGCTCAGGTCATGATCCCAGGATCCTGGGATCGGGTCCCGCATCGGGCTCCCTGCTCCGCGGGAAGCCTGCTTCTCCCTCTCCCCCTGCTTTGTGCTCTCTCTCTCTCTCAAATAAATAAATAAAATCTTAAAAGAAAAAAGTGTCTGATAGAGAATAACACTTATTATAGTGATTTCTCTCAGAGGTAAAGCCACATCATGGCTGATGATGGGATCAACCCTCAGATCTGTTCTCCCTGAAAACTAGATTGAAGCTGATTTACATGTTTGGCTTGAAAACTCAGCCAGGATAATCTGGAGAAAACCATGATACGGGACCCCTGAGCTCCTGCCCCGATGGTAGAAGATTGGCATTGTCATTTGGGTTGTGATTTATGAGCCATGCTTGTTTTTCTGCTGCTTTTCTAGGTATCTCATGTGGTAATCTAGGTGGCTTCCTAGTTTTTGTTAGGACTGGGACAATGCCTTGTCCTTGTTCCACTCCTTCCAAGGACGGCGAAGCTTCCGTCAGCCTACTTGATGCTTTTGTGTGACTTAGTATAAAATGCATTCCTTGCTCTGAACAGACACAATCCTGCATCAGAGTACAGTTGGAGCACGTGTTAATTTCAGCCCTCACCTAGGCAGGCTTCTTTGGTAGGATTATAGTCTTTCAATTCATGGGGACAATTCTAGAAACTTGAAGGCTTTTTTTTTTCTTTTTTTCTTTTTTCCTAATCAGGCCTGCCTTCGTACATTCAGGGATACGAGACAAATTTTTATAAGTATTGTTAACTTCTAGAATATAATGACCAGAGCACATAATGGAATCTCCCTCACTGGTGGTAGAGAATGTGGTGTCTTTATTAAATGGGTATTTGGGGGTGGTTTGAGCAAAGAGAATAAAGTAGGTAATCTATACGTTTTTCTAAATCCAACCTATGATTCTATGAAGTGCTACTGTGCAATGATTCCCAAAGTGTCATCCCTTGGACCAGCAGCATCAATATCATCTGGGACTTGTTAGAAATGCAAATTTTGGAGTCCCAGCCTTACCCCACTGAGTAACTGAAGGTGGGCCCAGAACTCTGTCTAACAAGATTTCCAGGTGATTCCTTTTTTTTTTTTTTTAAGATTTTATTTATTTGTCAGATGATCTATAAAAGTTCCTTTCAGTACTGTCATTTTCCTGAATTGTGCTGAACAGATGGCACTCGGGTGGGTACAGTGACTTATTTCTAAGTAACTTGAAACAGACAACAGGGCCAGGATAACTGGCATTTTATCAAGTTATTATCTTTCAGATTCTTTTCACCTTCGGGATCCTACATATAAATGAGACTAGAAAAATCTATCCCCACTAAGTTTATTTTTCTGTGCTACTAACAGTCGTGAGACCACCATTTAGACTGACGTTAACTCAAGAAGCCCCGATGGCTGGTAATACCCCCAGAGACTACTCCTCCCATTCCTATTACTATTCCTATAAATATTTCTATACATATTTAGCAATTATTTGGCCTGGCAATTCTCTGCTTCCCATAGTCTGAATGTGCCACTAATTTTAGAAAACAAATCGCAAAAGGGGAAGTCTGAAGGTCTTCGAAAATGCTACTGCATTATTTATCCCCTGGATTTCCTGGGTGTATTTATTGTTACCTTAAGTGGTAGCAGCGAGTAACTGCAGGTAGGTAGTTGAGAATATCGCTCAGTTGTACTACAGGCTTGTGTTTCAATCCTGCTTTTGATCTATAAAACACCCTGGAATCCACAGGGCGGAATAGGATATGGAAATATGTAAGGCATAATCTTTCTCTTGTAGGGACTCATACCATGGTAAAGGAAATAAAATATGTGCATAACAAATAGATATGATGCACATGGAGTGTCCTGAGAACACAAGTGCTACAAGATTTCAAAGAGGATAGAGATTTCTTTACACATGGGTGATTCACTAAAGGCTTCATGTAGTGTCATTTCAGCTGAGTCTTGAATACTTTTGGAAGGTAGGAATATGAGCGTGTGCAGTGCAGTCCATGTTTGAGCATGGAGAAGGTGGAGCCCAGAGCCAGCGGGTGACCATTTGTATCTCTAGTACCTAGTTCAGTGACTGGCACAGAGTAGATGTTCAGTGACTATCATGTGTTCTAACTCATAGACAGACCATTGAGTGATTATCACGTGTTTGTTTTTGTTTTTGTTTTAATATTTTACTTATTTATTTGAGCGAGAGAGAGCAAGGGGGAGGGACAGAAGGAGAGGGAGAATCAGACTCCCCGCTGAGGAGCTGCAGGGCTCCATCCCAGGACCCTGGGATCATGACCTGAGCCAAAGGCAGACACTTAACCAACTGAGCCACCCAGGTGGCCCTGATTATCAAGTTTTTGGCTTTTCCTTTCTTTGGAAAAAAAGAAAAAGAAAAAGAAGTAACTCTATAAAAGGAAAAATCAGAAGACACATGCTGATTTCAAAAACATTCATTAAGATGTGAGAACAAAGTGCTTTTCTGAATCTTGGAAACATGGTATTTGGTGAGTTTGAGTGGAGTAGAACTTTTGAGTACTACATTAGAGGCATCTACAAAGCTGGAATAGGGAGAATAGCTGGAAAGGTAGATGGAACCAGATTGCGAAAGGCTCTGGATTCCACGCTAACACTTTTCACTTTTAACAGAGTTGCTAAAGGATTTTTGAGTAGGTAGCCTGCTCAAAATAATATAGAAAAAATAATAATTAATGGTAGTTAAATGCCATCAACTATGGGAAAGCTCTCCACTGCTTTGTAGAAAAATGATTGGAATTAGTGAGAAAATTGATACTGCTTCTGATGAGCAACAGCAGAGAACCAAAATGTATTGAGCATTACATAATGACAGGCATATGCTAATTGGTTTTGAATGTTATTTAACTCAGCAACCTGGAACAGATATTATTCATGTCATCTTTTTGTTGAGGAGCCCTAACTTAGAGAGGGTTAAAAACTTTCCCAACATACTGCTAGTGGATTCTGACATCGTTTGCTTTTCAATGCAAAGCTGAAAGTGTGAAACTGGAGACCAAGTAAGAGGACTGTGAGATACTGAATTTGGAGATATCCTGTGCTGAATAGCCTCTTGCCCCAGGTCTGTCTGCTCTACCTCTTTCTCCACCCTGCTCCATACCCCAGGAGGCAGGTCCTAAGATCTAGTACACTATACAGAACTTCCTTGCCTTCTGGCTTCCAGTAGAGCTTAGCCAGTGGGGGACACTGGCAAGGGACCCGAGGGCTGAGGGAGAATAGAGTTGAGGTGTTCCTCTTGGCTCCCAATCCTGGGATCTGGCTGGGTCACTGCTCAACTGAAGGTCACACCTCCTGCCATCAGCACATGCGAAAATACAGCTTATAATGGCATCCTCAGGTTGGCCTATGTTCAAATCTTTTTTCTCTTTCAAGGAGCCAGAAACTAGCTCAGCCAGTGGTGTAGTGCTGGTTTGAAGTAGCTTATTACCAGTCGCCGCCAATAAGAAGACTGATCAGTGTGGAGAATCCAAACAGCAAACCACAGTTCAAGGAGCCCAAAGAGAGTCTCAACCTACTGATTTTCTCCTAGTATTTCCCAGGCTTGGTTTTTAAGGGTCTGAGAAACTGATACCTTGAACATGGCATAGCTTAGCAAGTCTCCCTTGCACTACTCATCTTATATATAACTTCTTTCTTTCACAAACGTTGATTCCTTGCTCCTTTCCTGGGGGAGGAGGTACCAAAATATAAAAAATAAAGGGATTAAGCTGAATGTCTGGCGTTGGGCATTTCCCACACAAAAATCTAAGCCCCCTAAGTTATTTGGGCATTTGATGGCTTTCATTTAAAACTGAAGATACTCATTTTATTTAGGACCTTCTTATCATATTTTATTTATAAACTTATCTATGTACACGATTTGCGGAGGAACCAATAGCGTATTGCTCAGTCCCAACAGCAAATGGCTCAATTTCACAACGGCTCCTCTTTTTCAAGATAAAATGAAGAGAACAACAGCATATTAGAACTATTCTCATCTTGCCTTTAAAAAATTGGGATGTTTGAGGATTTACCGAGATAATATATACAAACTGCTTAGCCTAGGGTCTGGCACAGAAGTACAGCTACAGGAAAATAAAATAAGTTACTGAGCATCCACCAACCACATGCTAGGCAGTGGAGCGCTTGCCCAAAGTTTATGGCGTTGAACCACCAGCGGTCCTAGCAACGGATTCGAGATGCTAAGTGCTGAGCCACGGAAGCGGGCTCCCAAAGGGCGGGCGTGCCGGGGTCCCCAGCGACACGGGCGGGCTGGGGGGCAGGGGGCGCGGGGGCGCGCGCCCCGAGGCGCAGGCGCGGCGTGCGCTCCTCCTCCGCTGCGGAGGGCGCTGCGTGTGGCCGCCACTCGCAGCGCTGCGGGATGCCGGCATTCAGGCCAGCTCCATGAGGACCAAGCACGTGAACGTGCTGATCGCCCTGGCCGCCGTCATGCTCTTCGGCTTCTCCTGCTTTTGCATCTCCAGGATGACTCAAACCAGTGAGCTGCGGGTAGCTTCTCCGGCTTCGGGGCTGCGGGATTGCCAGGGCGGCCCGGGGTGGGGGGTGGGGGAGAGAAGCGGGGCGACGTGAGAGCCTAGCGCTGTCGCCCGCTCTCGTATGAGGTGTTTGACCGATGGCTCCCCCCCCCCGCCGCTTCCTTGTCCGACCGGCGGTTAAGCTGTAACGGGCGCCCCTAGTCTACCCCAGCGGCCGCGACCCCCGCCAGGCGCGCGCGCTAATGGATCGGCCTGCGGGGTTCCCCGGCGCTGTTCCGCTTCCGCGCGCCCTTTTCCTCCGAAGGTTCGAGAGTCCGGTTTGTGCCCAGCTTCCCGCCGCCCGCGTCTTCCTCTTCCCTATCGTTTCCAGAAACGTGCCTGTTTGAATTAAGAACTTCTCTTACAAAGCGAACATCTTTCCTCTTTCGTGTTCCACGTTACGTGATTGAGCCACACTTCAAGGCTCCCTAGAGTATTTTTTGCGAAGCCAAAAAGGGGTGAGATGATGGAGAGACAATTTAGAGCACGGGTATATAGCACCTGAACTTTCTCAAATGAAGCGTGAGGCTTACGTTACTGCTTCGAAATACACCGAGGTTTTAATTCATTTTGTTTTAGGGTTCCCAGTTTAGCAAATAAAAGTGGAGATTGCCCAGGGAAATTTGAAGTTTGGATAAACAATGAGTAAACTTATAGTATAAAAATTGCACAGAATATATTTATACCAAAAGACTTATTGTTTATCTGAGATTCAAATTTAACTAGATTTCCTGCATTTTATCTTTCAGCTCTACTTGTCCATTGGCCAGTGTAACATTTTTTTTTTTGAGAGTAATAGCTTTACTTTTATTGATTTTTTTATTATTATGTTATGTTAATTACCATGCATTACATTGGCCAGTGTAACATTTTTTTTTTTGAGAGTAATAGCTTTACTTTTATTGATTTTTTTATTATTATGTTATGTTAATTACCATGCATTACATTGGCCAGTGTAACATTTTAGCGTCCATGTAGTTGGATTTTTAATTTAAGCTTAGGAATCCTGTAAATATATTAAGCCAGCCTTCCAAGATTGTCCTTAGGTTGTTTTAGGTTAAATTCTCATTCTTATTGGGGCGCCTGGGTGGCTCAGTCGTTAAGCGGCTGAGGTCTTCGGCTCAGGTCATGATCCCAGGGTCCTGGGATCGAGCCCCGCATCGGGCTCCCTGCTCCGCGGGAAGCCTGCTTCTCCCTCTCCCACTCCCGCTGCTTGTGTTCCCTCTCTCGCTCTATCTCTCTCTGTCAAATAAATAAAAAAGATCTTTAAAAAAAATTTTTTTTTCATTCTTATTAAACACATTTATGACCCAGGGTTCACACAAAGTAACCTTGGTGGTGGTGTCAAGGATCGAGTTTGGAAGTGGCTTTAGTCTTCTGATTAATACGAAATTTTGTCATGTATACACAATATCAACATTCTACTCCATTTGTTTCAAAGGATTAGGAATACATAATAATTTGTCTGATTTATACTACTGATTTTTAATCATTTTATACACTTCCCCCTTCTTCATTTTCTTTAAGGAACATTATCCAGATGTGTTTTTTATGCATTTTAGGACAATAAACAATTTCTACTTTTATAACAAAAAATAAATCGTTACTCATAATTAGAAAGTAAAATGTCAACTCCCTCTTAGAGTAATTTTGGAAGGCAGTTTGGATTGGTAATGTCAAGACATTTTAATACAACTAATATTATTATATTATTTATTATAAACTGTGGACTTCATGTTATGACCAGGAAAAAGAAGTTTGGTCCCTCAAAGTATTTATATTCCCAGCATTCATATATTCAAATTCAGAATATGAGATACTGTTCCTGAAAATGTACCACTCTTAGAATAACTGATAAAACAGGTTTCTCATGTTTTACATTTATGTTTCTGTGTAACCTAGGTCTAAAATAGTTACAAAATCAGTCCTTGTACAAAATCAATCCTGAGATGTTCTTATGTCAACAAAAGAAAACAGCCTTCATTTAGTTTTGGAAGCAGTGATTTTTATAAAACACCAAAGATAGTCCCAATGGCTTTTAAAATTTGATCCATAGTTGTAATTCTTATCAATGAAAACTTGGGAATATTTATTAGGAAGATGGCCGGGGGTGCCTGGGTGGCTCAGTTGATTAAGCGCCCAGCTCTTGATCTCAGCTCAGGTTTTGATCTCAGAGTAGTGAGTTCAAGCCCCATGCTGGGCTCCATGCTGGGCAAAGAGCCTACTTAAAAAAAAAAAGTTGGCCACAACCTAGTGGCCTTCTTTACCCTTTTAAATTTTTATGTGCCTATAACCTTTTGTTTCTATAAGCTCATAGTATTAACAGTTCATTAATTTGTTCTATAAATATGTAAGCTCCATGAGGAGAATTTTTTCTGTTTTTGCCTGTTTGGTTCACTGCTGTGTCCCCAGCATCTGGAAAAATGCCTGATACAAGAGGTATGCTAAATATTTGTTGTCTGGTTGAATGAATGAGTGAATTAATGAATTTGATAAATACTTCATGTTGTAGGAACTAGGCAACAAAAAATTTTTAAACCCTCACTTTCAGGGAGCTTACATTCTGGTTAAGGGAAATAAACAACAAACAGGAATGATAATGCTCTATGGTGTCAGGTGTTGACAAGGGAGAGAAAGTGCTATTTTAGATAGGGTGGTTAAGGAAATTCATATTAATGCCTATTCCTGAATGAAGTAAGGGGGGCTATTGTGTGGATATCTGGGGGAAGAGTTTTCCAGGCAATGAGAAAAGCTGGTGCAAAGGCCCTGTGGTGCAATCAGCTTGATATGTTTGAGAAACAGCTAGGAGGCTAATGTGAACAAGGAAGAGTTGTAGAGGGATAAGATCATGGAGACCATAATAAGGACTACGACTTTTATGCTGAGTAATACAGGAAGCCATCTACATAAAAAGATGGTCAACATCACTAATCATCAGGGAAATGCAAATCAAAACCACTGTGAGATACCGCCTCATACCTGTTAGGTTGGCTGTTTTTAAAAAGACAAATAATGAGTGTTGGTGAAGATGTGGAGAAAAAGAGAACCTTCATGCACTGTTGGTGGGAATGTAAATTGGTGTAGCCACGGGAAAACAGCATGGAGTTTCCTCAAAAAAATAAAGATGGGACTACTCATATGACCCAGCGATTCCACTTCTGGGTATTATATGAAGCAAGTGAAAACACTAACTTGAAAAGGTATCTGTATTCCCATGTTTATTGCAGCATTATTTATAATAGCCAAGCTATGGAAGCATCCTAAGTGTCCTTCAGTGGATGAATGGATAAAGAAATTTTATATATTCTATTATAATGGAATATTATTCTTTCAGTCCCAGGTGTAGCTCGAAGTCAGCAGAGTCCAGGATGTACATGTGGGCCAATCAAGACGGTAATTGAAATGTCATGTGGACTTTAAAGTATATCTAGAACAACAGTGTGTGACAATAATTACAAGATAAGATAGGAGAGGGGTAAATGGAGTTAAATGGTACTAAACTTGCAGCACTGTTGAAAAGTGAGAATGTGAGAATTTGTATTAGACTGTAATAAGTCAAAGATTCCCATTGAAATCTCTGGTTTAACAACTAAAATAATCGTAAAATAATGCATAACAATATCACTCATAGTTAATGCTCCAAAAAGGAAATTACAGTATTTTCTGACTTTATATAAAACAAAACCAAACTTGATGATGTTTACAAGAGATATGTTTAAATTTTAAAGATCGAGAAATGTTGGAAGAGGGATGGAAAAGTATATACCAGCAACCTGATCCAAAAGAAAGTTGATGTAGCTATATTAATATCAGCAACATAGACTCTAAGGCCAAGTGCAACATAAATGTTGAATAAACATGGAAGAACTTCATTAGCAATCAAAGAAATGCAAATTAAAAACACAAGATAGCATTTCATACCATTCAGATTTTTAAATTTAGGAGATAAGACATTTGGTGAGGATGGGGAAGTGCAGGAATTTGCACACACTCCCCTTGGGAGTGGGGAGTATACATACATACATTCAATCACTTTCGTTATGTGACGTGCATTTCCTGTGTCCTAGCAATTCTGCTAGTCAGGACTGAAATCGGTGTGCAACCTTACCCAATGGCTTATGGCCACCTCCTCTTGTCACTGATCAGTACCCATGCCATATACGTTGTTCAATATTTGTTTTTTTTTTTTTAAAGATTTTATTTATTTATTTG